TTGCTTCGCTTTATGCCCGAATCTTCTGTCTGTTTATGTTGTGATGGTAAGCTTGAGAGTTTCTCTCCTCCAACGGACTCTCCAGGTTCTTTATTTTCAGAAATGTGCACATGTCAGTGTTCTAAAAACAGTCTATGAAAGCCACAAAATTTCCTGTCTTGACGCAGCACGATGAAGCATATTTCAGGGCCGTCTGCTAAGGCATTGTAACGGACATTCACCGCAAAAGATGAAATGTCCAGTCCCTTTACCTTCTGGTATTTGAGGCTTTTTGAGTTGGTTTTCAATAGTCTGCAGAATGAGAAGACAACAAGAGAAACATATTCAATCCTCTTCAGCATTGACAGACCAATTACCCAGCATTGATACAACTTTTTGCAGTAAATTTATTCCTGACAGAAATTCGTTGAAAATTGTTGGACCCATTAAGTTGTTGCTTCGAATCGAACAAATAACAGAGGAGAGATCAGCCAGATTGATATTTTGAAGATACGAACGATAATTTTGTTGAAGCTTGTGTTTTGACAATGAAATTCAACATATTTTTTTAATATCCGCTTCGTAAGACCTCTTACTGTTTCCTTGAAATGTTTTTGAAGTAGCATATGATAACAGAGGTTGAATAAACATTTCGATCCTCCCTCAGTTCACAATGTACAGACCAATTACTCGATAGTTGAGGTATGTTTCATCGCTGTTGAAAAGTTGATCAGGGTAAAATTTTCTTTCTCTTTTGTTCACATCATCAAAAATCAACGAGGTTTATGCGACAGCATTATCGGACTCAACATCTTTCGTATCCTGGCCGATACCTGACCAAATATAGAATACTAAGCAGAATAGGAATGAAGCAAATTATACATTTATTGAACCTTCTCCCGTACGACTAGTTCAGACACAACTAAGCCTTCTCATCTTTTTTTCTTGTTACAATTATGAAAAGTTTAACCTAAATTCTCGGTATAATCACTCGTTGTAAACAATACAATTACCACCGGATCGTTCCGATACGGTGAGATAGACTGTCCCACTACTATTGGTACTTCGGAAAATGACTAAAGTAAGCCAGAATAAGGCGAATCAACCGTCAACAATAGGTGTTAATATTGATATTTTACCGTTTACAATTCAACAACGCATGATTATATTGTAAAGCAGTTCGCTAACTCAACCAGACAATAATGTGATGAAGTATAAACGACTCGATTGTTTATTTTCACCGATCTATTTCAACGAAACAACATCAAATCAAATTAACAGAACATAAATTTCTTAATGAAAGAATCAAATCTGGAGCTTTCGATTAAGAATAAAAGCATTTAGCACTTCGATCTGTTCATCCAGACAATGGATACCCTATAAGTCAGGTTGATCACTAGGACTACTTCTTATTCGAGACGGTCGAATCGCTTCCAAAAATGTATCCCAGAATCTCTTATCCCAGACCCGATCTCTTCTCATTCTGCAGTATAATATTCAATGTATTGGGAAACTGGAAACGTCAGGCAATTTGATTTCACAAAAAAATCCACCTATAAAACTGATTACATCCAGAAAATGAACATTAAAGACATTTTCCTGAGCGAGGCCCTAGTATTCATACAATCTGCTATCAAGAAACCACTGGAAACACCGAATTCCATGCCGAATAAGCTTTTGCCTTTTACAACAGAACTTCAAAATGATTTCATTCCAGTTGCTTGTCTGTTCAACAAATCACTCAGTGCAAAATTTCCTTTATTTCATCACCATCGATGAAATATAAAATCTCCTAAATAAAACCTACTTAATGATTAGATTCGATCAATTAATAATAATCTACGATGTGAATATATCCATAAACAAACAATAAACAACGCACAAAAACAACACAAATTATCAGAATGAAACCAAAACAAACAAAGAAACGAACAATCGAACAATTCAATTCACTAGTTTTTTTCAGGTCAAATTTCTACGAAAATGATCCTCCGCTGGCCGCCATACCGGCCGTCAGTTCATCTTGTAATCGCTTCTGTAGTGTCTGTGACACTAAATTCCAGCTGTCCATGAAACGGTCCATACATCTGCAAACGTTCTCTCATTTGCTCTTCATTCAAATAACTCAATTCTGCCCTTCACCAATTCTCTACAGAAGTTTTCATTCGTTTTTCTTGCTAATTTCAAAATTCAGCGACGAACTTCAATTCTCAAACGATTTCTAAATGACAAAGCAACACTAAAAGCCAATACTCTGCAGCAACATCAGATTCTATCTCACAAGAAGCAACATCAAATCAAAACGATCGCTGCTCAACGAGACTCTCAGTTGAACCTACCTTCCATCAAAGTCTCGTTTCAATAAACCGCCGCAACTTCCGACCAATCTGACTGTGAGCTTGGTGGAAGCTTCTCACCTAAGGCAACGCCTAAACTTATGACTAAGGAAGTATCAGATTTCGTCAGCGGTATCTCTACGCTAACCTACCGCAAAGTACTGGCTGAATCAGCGAATTGCTTTGGGACAGTAGAGAATGGGAGATCCTCTTTCAGTGAACTGGCAATCGTATTGAACGTGCACCTCAAAATGCCTGCGGAACAAGATGGAAATTTTATGATCAAACTGACAATAAGAAAGTTGCCGTGACGAGATGAAAATACAACAAATCTCTCGAAAAAGGAATCCATCTCCCACCTCTTAATACCTCCGTAACACTACCAAAAACAACGGTTAATCAACGTGGACAGATGTTCGAAGAAACTTGAAAAACGCAAGAAAATAACGACCAATAATACCTTTGCAAGCATTGTTTTTCTCCGTTGCTGAGTGTACTTCCAGGTGTTCGTATGCATTTCAATGTACACTTTTCTGATAAATCCTTTAAATTTGCATATAATCAATGCAAATAACAATTACGATGTTACTAATACTAATATGATGCGGGGACGGAAAAAAATCGGGGACGAAATTTTCCAGTCGGAGACCTCGAAAATGTCGTCGGCTCGAAAAAATTCGAGGACATGGTACCCGAAATTTCCCGATCCCCGCACCACTCTAACTAATACCAAAACGATGGTACAACTTTTAAAAATTTAGCAACTAAATTAAATTTATTGTTAATAAAATAGCTCAAGGCACAGCTCGGAGTCACGATCAAACCTTTACAATTGTTGCTTTCAAAGACAAACTTTCGACGACACATTCAAAGTGTAGCAAAATGAAACGAACAGCAAATGCGTTCGGAATGTTCAAAATTTAAATTCACCACCATACCGTGATCAAGCTCTGTGCATTCATAATGGCTGCTTGCTGTTTTACACCAGCGATCACTTGACTCTGCTGTTCGGGTGTAAGTTTCTGTAGCGTTTCCATATCCAATAATTGATCCATTTTATATCTGAATTCATATCTTTGCCTTATATTTTCAATTGTAAACAGCATTATTTCATGACAATATGGTGAAAATTTATTTCTTTATTCGATCAGCAAATACAACAACTCATCACGAGTCTATGCCTCTCTGTTATCACAATATCAAATTTTTACTTCCTTGACATACTTCTATTTCCACGCAACTAACGATAATGGCGCTGCTGGGAGATACGGCCACAATATGGCATAATTTTCATCAATGCATTTACGAACGATTGCAGATGTTTAATGCAATGCAAAACGATATCCTCANCTAATACTAATATGATGCGGGGACGGAAAAAAATCGGGGACGAAATTTTCCAGTCGGAG